GATATATCTATAACGATAACGCAATGTTTATTTAAGTAATACGTGAATAAAGAGCGATCGTGATGGAAATCGTGAAGCGAATTTTTTTTTTTTGTTGTACTAACCCGCGATCGATCGCCGCTTTATTTAACCGCCTATGGAAAACTCATGCACGTGGCGTCGATGAAAGTTTAATGGGAGATCGATCTTGCGGTTAGCAACCTATCATCCATGCAATTCTTCAGTGAGAAGAATTAGCGTACGGACTTCAATCATCACGAAAGAATGACGCGACGAAAGATACTCTGAGATATACCTAGTCTGATTAATCGCTTTTTAATTAAATCAGTTTTCCTTTACGAATCTCATTTACACTTGGTGCATAATAACTAAATCGGTAACGAAATCTTCATAATTGTTATATGTGTTCACAAAGAAAGAGGAAGAGAGAGAGAGAGAGAGAAAGATTTCTTTAGATCTTCTACGTTATACTTTGAATCAATATGTCTGTCATATAATATCAAAATAATACTCAATAAAACGTCCATATATTGGAATATCGTAAAAATTGTTCAATATATGTACCTTCGAATGTTTCTAGCACAAAGAATTTCACAGACTCTTTCTACGTCCTTACGTCAATACTTTGCAAGTTCAAAAGGGAATTCTAGAAAGAATATATTCGACACGCAATCGTCGTCCTTTTCAATCCCAGTTCCGACGCAAATGATGCGCATTTCATTTTTCGCGACAAAGATTTGACGCCATTCTTTTCTTATCCCGCTCGCAAAGCAAACGTTCTCATTATTACAACTGCATGATATACTACGTACTACCCGTAGCACGCTCTGTATAGAAGTCAAACTGATCCGATGCATTATTGGATTCACCGGACACTAGATGTATACAACGATAATACAAGAGATGTATGGCCAGCCGCTATTGTGGAAATTCGCTAGCTGTGTAAAAGACCCGACACACGAGTAACTCGATATCCAATGGCTCGTTACAAATGCGCGACCTACAATTTGCCAATATTTATCTCCAGCTGTACGCTTTTCCGACCGACAGAGAAAAACGATTTCCGCAATTGTGATAATGTCGTAAAATTTCGCGCTATATAAAAATTCGTGCATTTTAACAATTTACGAGAATATCGCTTCGATTTCGTAGTAATTTAATTGATGTATAGAGTGATTGTTCAAGTCTCCGATTAAATGGTGATGGTAGTAACAGTGGTGGTGATCGGCGTTTGCATAAAATCGCGCGTAACTGGCTACTACTAATTGCTAGAAATAATAGATAAAAGAATAATGACAATGTTTGACTCGATATGTTCCCTCTGATAACGCAGGTGGGGTCGCGTCTGGGGATGCGGAGGGATCCGTGCGCCGCATGCGGGTTACCGGTCTTCCTGGCGGAGAAGCTGCTGATAGCGCGCGTTCCTTATCACCGTACCTGCTTCCGGTGCGCCCGCTGCTGCAACCAGCTGACGCCGGGCAATTATTACGAGACCGAGGAAGGCCAGTACTGCTGCGAGACATGTCCGGACGAAGAGGAGACTGATAGCGTGCTTCACAAGTACGCCGAGTCGACGATGTCCGATACGGAAAGAGAGAAGAATGAACCGAGACCGCTTAGCGACGAGGAGAAAACAGAGAGGAAGGTCAGTTTTTGCGTTTTATATTTGAATAAGTATAATATTTGCGCTGAAGAAAAGTCAATTGATGAAGCTTCGTTGTATGTGTAGAGTGTACTGGAGAACGTAGCGGTACCCGATTTGATTTCTCATACGTCACAAATGCGCAAGAGCTTCATGACCAGCCATCTTCTTTCCGAGAAGTTTGAGTCTACCGCGAAAGATACATTCGAGAGTACGAAAAGCGACTCGGATCATCGTCAGGAAACAAAAAGCAGGATCGGCTCGGCATTCCCAGACGACGACGAGAACGAGGAGGATGAGGAAGAGGGAGAGGAGGAGGAGGAGGAGGAATCCCACAGTTCCGTGACGGATTCCCCAGATGTGGAGGAGTCCAACATCGAGCGATACGATGTACATAGCGCGTTAAATAGTTTAGATATTAGGAGCGACAAGGATCAGCGATCGACTGCCATTTCATTCCATGACATAGATAAGCAAAGAAGAAATGATGATACCAAAGAGTCGCCAGGATGCGCCAGTGAACGTGTCAATCCCGAAACAAGATTGTCATTGGTTCAGAAGAGACTCCAAATGTTTGAGAGTCGGGACAAAAGGGATCACGTCGATGGAACGGATCAAAGCAAGAAAAGAAATCAAGTGGCTCAGGATATCACAATGGTTCAAGGCGACTCCTGGGACCTGTCACCGGACGTTCTTCAAGCGAATGAGGAAGAACGATCGGAAAAGAGGCTCGAGGAAGATTCAATAAGTAAAAATACTGATAAACATAAAGACAGCTTTGAGAATGTCGGCATACAGCAAAAAGAAGACTCGAAGATTACAAATAGCGAGGAGAACTTTTCAAAAGACTTTGTACGAGCGAATGACGAAGATCGTCTTAATAAAGATAAACTACACGAGAATAGCGTAAAAGTCCGAAGTATCGAAAGACGAAAAGAGAACTTTACGAAGATCGAGAATGAACGAACTGAAAACAATAAGATGGATGAGGAGCATTACGAACATGCTACGGGAAACAGCGTGTTGACCGTAAAAGGCATCAATTTAAGTGACAATGAGAATTATCCGGAAGACTTGAATCCATTCAAGAGCGACGAAGAAGACAACGTCGCAGAAGAGGGCAAACCACGGACTGTGATAAATAGCTCTAAAAACAATAAGGTGTCGACTAATCCATTCGACAGCGAAGATGAGGACATCGAAGAGCCAGAACCGCCAAAACCGGCGATAAGAAATAAATCGGAGAATCGAGGAACATCTGTGACGAAGCGGGTCCTCGCGGCGCCACAAATCAATCTTAATCCATTCTGGAGCGACGAGGAAGAGGAACACGGTAGTGACGAGGAAAGACGAGATAAAACGCCACATGGAAATATGCCTGTACCAAAACCACGTACTATCAAGTACGTTTTGTTTTATTTCAGCAAATAAATATATGCAAGAGTATCGCGATAATTTTTTTTATTTTTATATGCACAGGACCACTCCCGAAGTAAATGTTGCACGGAGAGCAGACTTAGATCGTGGAGGCTTATACGCGTCTAATACTTCCTTAACCAGCTCCGAATCAACCATAACTCCCGGTGGAACGTATAGAAAAAAGAAACCTGCGCCGCAGCCACCGGTTGCGAAAGAACTGTTTCCATCTAATCAGCACGAATCACCTGTACCCAAATCGCATAATAGCACATTACTCTCGTGTCACGTAAGTCTTAAGACGTATCAGTTCTTTTTTTAAATTTAATTATTTTCAATCTGTTATTTTAGATATTTGACACTAAAAAATTATTTTACACACACATACACATTACATTTATAAAATATACATTATATATAAATTTCGTAAAAGAAAGCGTTTGATTTTCTCTCGCAACAAAGAATTCATCATCTCGCACAACGCCAAAAGCTCGAAAAAACAAGCCGGCTCCTCCGCCGCCAATGCCAACTAGCACACCTCGTAATGTATCGATCAGCAAAGGATTAAGTTTGGATGAGTCTCCCATAATCAAGCTTCGTGACGATGATCGTAACTTGAACATGTGGGAAGATCAGAAAACAAACAAAGACGAGGCGAATCGAAACAGGCAAAGTTTGAGCAATATCTCATGCACTGATAGTTCCTCCTACATGTCTTACACAGACAAAAGCGTGCAAGGAAAGTGGAAGAGGAAAAAGGGTCCCGCCCCACCGCGACCAATTCCGCATAGGAGAAAGGTAAATCTTATCTTCTATCATAAGGCATGTTGTTACGGTGCAGATTTCTTCGTGTAAATATTTAGATATTAAAATTCAAATTTTTGCTAAATTAAATTTTTAAGAGCCATAAATATAAATAAGATGCGAGATTGTATTGTTTTTAATTACAGATTAAAGTAATATCTATGAAAGATGTGAAATTAGAATTAGATGAAATAGAATTGCAACAGCAAGGCTTAGAAAGACAAGGTGTGCGATTGGAACAATTGATACGAGATAAATGCGAATCCGGACCTAGAATAGACGGTAAGGAACACATAAATACGAGAATAACATATTATAAAAATGTATAATTAACATTTAATTTAATTAATAGATTCGTCGCTCGGTGCAGATGTGGAGGAATTGGTTTTAGAGTTGTTCGCATTAGTAAACGAAAAAAATGAATTGTTCAGGAGACAGGCCGAATTGATGTTACTACGGAGACAACAAAGATTAGAGGAGGAGCACGTTGAAGTAGAGTATCAAATACGATGTCTCATGTGCCAACCAGAAGCTACTAAAACAGACTTCGACAAACAGAGAGAAGAAGCATTGATACAAAGGTATTTTCGAAAAAAAATGTTTATTTAATACAATGTTAATAGAGCATAAACATACAATTACACGTTTTTATTTTTCTCTAGGTTAGTAGAAATTGTAGAGAGAAGAAACGAAATTGTCGAATGCTTAGAGATGGATCGTCGAAGAGAAGTAGAAGAGGATAAAAGCATAAATAAACATATGGGTTTATTTGCTGGTAAATAATGTGACGATAGATGTACTAAATGCAAGATACAATGTAAGCTTCCATTTTTAAATTACCATTCATCTTTCAGCAAGGAATAAAAACGAGCTAGCAAGCAAAAGCAACGATTCTTCTAATGCAGGGAAAACGAAAAAAGGAAAAACAAAAGAGAAAGTGAAAGAAAAGAAGTTGAAAAAGGCCACAAAAAAAGATGCCGACAAGGATGTGGACGAGACTGAGGTGAAACTCAAACGCCATGGCAAAAGAAAATGGTTTTAAGTTGCGATAGTGTTAACAGTTAACGATTATGCTATACATAGATGTAGAAAATATTTCATATTTAATACTTTTATATATATTTTTAACGTCTGTTATTTATATACATAGGAATTTATGCTAAGGTTATTAATAAAATCGCCTGTTTAATTGCTCCTGATTTCTTTCTAATTGTATTATTTGTAATTAAATAAATTACTTATCTAATTATAGGTGAATTAGCAATATCACAGTAAAACTTTCGTCAAATCTTCTGAAAAATCTTCAATATCCGAACAGGCGCGTGAATCAATTCTATCGACATAGCCCATTGTGGCAAACTACATTCTTCAAAAGCAAGATCATAATTTCCTAAAACAAAAATTCAATTTTTTGACATTTAAATCACCTCTTAGTTTTTTAATTAGCAAACGTAAATCACAATCAAATACCTAAATGTTCCAGAAACTGTGAAACAGTGTCTTTATTACGAATTGTTGCAGCAAAAATAGCATAGTTGTTTGATGCTAAAAGGCATTTTAATCCTAATGTCAATGCAGTAAACGAGTTGCTGTCATACAGAATATCGGCGGCAATAATTATGTCGGGTTGCAACAAATATTCTGACATGTGTTTATCGATATCCTCCCATTTCAAATCTATTACATGAACATTGGTTTGCTCGTATTTTAATTGTAACTGTAGTTTTGATGTTGTATCAGATGTATTCAATAGTTCGCTTTGTTTATTCGATAGGAAATTGAGTTTTATATTCTCACAGAGCATGTCTAATACTGTTGGATGACAATCGGAGAAAATATATTGTTTTGGAGAACATACGCTAATTACGCTCATACCAGTCAATCCAACTCCACAGCCAAGTTCTAATATATTTTTTCCACAAAATTGTTCTTTGTTTTCTGTACACCATTGACTCAATACTATAGCACCCTGTTAATTGCAATTGATTTGAATAATTCTTAAGGATATTTTGTAAACAATTTGAATAATGTTTAGAAATTATAATGATACTCAAAAAAATAAACAAGTACCTGCCAGCTACATAAGCCCGTAGTTCCTTTAGAGATCAAATTCGTGCTTTCTTTTAACGTAATGCAACTTAATGTTCCATTTTGTATTAAAAAATGACGATAATGTACAGATTCTTCATCTGGCAATGATATTAATCTACAATATGCTGCGTATAAATCATCATGAATTTCATTACCGCTTTCTTCTATCTAAATCACATACAACACTAATAAAGGAAATGATTCTATACTTTCTAACCTCTCTAAAAATTAATAAAATATTTTAAATATACCTTTTGCATAAGTAATTTTAAAAATGCTTTCTGATATGAGGTTTTTATCGGATATTGTTTAATTAAGTCGTTATTTATCGTATTATCCAAAATTTGTTTTTGAATATCTAATTTGAGATCACACACATAAGTTTTGTATTCCTCCAATACCTGCAAGACATTCCTTTTACATTATCAAATTATCACTATATGTAATCACAAAATGTAACAGGTTGTATTTAGTTATATATATAAAATTGGCGTATGTACTATAAAGTCCAGTTTAATTAATGCAGTACAGCAGAGAAACTGCTTTGTTAAGGAATTTATCATGGAATTTATGATACGAATATCGCAATTCATATCGCTATTATCCATATTATCCATGCTATTATTTGATTTAAAAACAAACTTTTAAGTATAAAAAATCACCACTCGCGCGAAAATTGTCAAAATTTTTAGTTGCGAGTTTTTTTCAAGCTGTTTTTAGGGATTGTGCACACAATCAAAGAAAAAGGGAGGGAATTGGAGAAAATTGGAGGGAACACAAGTGGAATTTTGCAACCTATCAGAAATGTCTATTCCAAGTATAGGATTAATTTCGAACAGACTTGGAATAGTAATGGTATCAACAGAGTGGTTTCTCTCTGGTATCAATCATATGTAACTTTTTTTCTAAAGCGGAAACTTAAAAAGTGAAAACTTTTATGTTTGTGTGTATCACTGAACTATACATACAATACAAAAAATTTTTACTTTCATCACGTTTCGATCTAGGAAAAAAGTTACACTGGGTACGGTTAAGTTGCCACTACAAATGCTTTGAAGCGTTTCTTGATTGGTCAATTAGTAAAATTCTTTCTTTTGATTGGTCAATCAAACGCTTTAAAGCATTCGTAGTGGCAACTCGACCGCACCCACGATCGATACCCAGTACTATTACCAAGTCTGTTCGAAAGTAATCTTTTTATTGCGATTTTCTCAGTATTAAGCGTAATTTATCCTCTTTTTTGTATTTTTCTCTCCAAAAGTCACCTAGAAATTCTTGTATACTATTTATACCCTTAAAATTTTACCGATGAAAACAAATCTTTAATTCTAATATTTCTGATAGAAATTCTATTAAATTGGCAACACTGAGGTCTGTTAGCGTTACTTGAAATCCCCAAGAATACTTGTACTCAGCGTCTTCGCTTTCTGTTTTCTCAACGCTCAAATAAATATCTATTTCATTTTAAGTACATAAATGTTTGGGATTAACCAGTGTAAATAGACCTAGAAATGGTTTTTGATCGATTTAAGAAATCAACTGTAAGAAATCAACTAATTATAGTCAATTATTCTTTTATATTTGTCTGTGATTGATCAATATTTTACAACTTACAGCTTACTACTCTAATATGTTTCGGGACTTAATGGACTTGGAAAGACAATTATTTACACTATCTTGTGATTATTTGATAATTTTTGCATATCTTTAAGAAAAAGGATAATAAAGTATTACATTTCACACAAAATCAATTAACTTTACAACGGCGTACAATATTCGTTATTTTCTAAACGTCGTTGCTTTGTGCGCGAATGCTTCCGAGAATTCCCTATGTCCGCGTCCAATAGCGTTTCTGGCAACGTGTCACTAGACGTAATCCGATTCCGAAATTGCAGCCTTCAAATTCAGCTTGACTGGTTTTGAGTGACTGTACCGCCTTGTACTTTGCGTACTGTGATCTGTAATTTGTTTCGTTATGGCTGATACGAGCTTAAGCCTAGACGATATAATTAAAAAGAAATCATTAGGAATGAGAGGCAAAGGAGGGTGAGGCAATTCAGTCCAGTGGAATTCTCGCTAATTTCGTAGCAAGCAGTAGCGAGAGTTACATATTTATAACCTTGACGATCGTGCTTTCTTTTACCGATAGAAATCTGTGCGGTGAAAATCTTTCCTTAAATTTTCGTTCTTCAGATATCCTCTTGTTTGACAGTTTTGTTGTCGCGAAGTCGCTCGAGTAAACTGTCATGCGCGAATATTATTCGCAGCCGTGAATAGCTCTGGAATCTGGAGCAAAATCTACTGATCCCGTATTCTCTGTATTACCGTATTACATCCGGCTTGAATTGATAAAAACTTGCTCCGCGATTTTTGAACGTCATGTAAGAAGACACGTTCGTCAATCTTCGCAATATTTTCTTTTATTACTATAATAGACAAAAATTAGAAAATTTATATTGTATAATTGTACAGGGTACGCAGGGGCGTCAGCAGAGGAGCACGAGCAAACGGTTCCGTGAGAGGACGTGGCTCACAGGTGATCACAGATGCGCGATTTAAAATAATACAGAAGAACCGGGAAAAGCTTACAGATGCCAGAGACAAGCTCGCTGAGATAGCGAAGCAGAGCGATGCACGACTCAAGCTGGATAAGCTTCGTGCATCCCATTACAAAAAGATAGATGCCCTTTCAAGTATTTCACGCAAAACTGGTCGAAATGGCAGACTGTCATTATCGACTAATAAAATGCCTCCTTTGATGCAGCATGTATTACCATCAAATATACCGAACAATTACATGCAGCCTTCCACGAGAACAGTTGGATATAGACCACCTCTCGCCGAGTCTCATTACATAGGAGATATGAGTATGGATTATACTGATGGTATGTGACACATAATGTTAATATATTGAGATATATCTTTTATTTGCAACAACAACATAAGAAAAAATAATCATTTTTCAGAAAATTTTAATTGCAAATAAAGAATGAAAACTTATAGAAGAAAAAGAACGTAAATTTTAAAAGAACAAACTTTTATATTCCTCTACAATCAGTTATTACATTAAAATTATATTCCAAAACAAAATTTTAATGATTCAAAACATTCAAAATAAATTTTCTGGAAATTTGGTTTTCTGAATTGCATTGTTTGAATTATTTATGAATATATCACCTTAATTATTAATTTTTATTAACATGCTTTGGTCTTATTTTAACTTTGTTTATTTTAACCTTTGACTTTATCTTTGTTTACCTTTTTCGAGATAACAAGCTTGTATTTTCTTTTGTTGCTAATATGTTTTATAATAAGATTTATTTTAAAATATCCTATTGAAAATTATTGAAATATGTCAAAAAAAAAATTTATATCAGCTTATTCTTTTAGATTACCTAACGGATTCTCCTTCATTGAGAAGGACTGTGAGTAACGAATATGCACCAACACCTCCACCTCCACCTCCTGTATTCAATATTAATCCGATTTCTCCTTACACTTGGATAAAGTCTAGAAACACTAATGTTACTAGGATTCCAGCTCGAAAATCTGAAATAGAAAAGGAACGAGAAAGGCAAAGAGATTACAATAAACTCGCTTCACGCTCTGCAATGGTAAATAATTACATCTTTTTTTTATGGGAAATATGTACAGTTGCTGTTCTATTTAATTTTTATTACTTGTTCCTTATTTCTTAGGTAAAAACTGCCTCTCCTTATAAAGAAGATTGGAATTTTGGTACAAAATCAAGGTAAGTAATTACATTTTACAGAAAAATTAAAATATTAACTGATTGAAAAAACTATCACTTTATATGATTTTGGTTGCAGAACAATTGTAGCAGAAGAAACAGCAGATTCCAAGTACTATGATTCCAGAAGTATTCGAGAAGTAGGAATTAAGTCGCGTCTTGATGCTTCTGGCAATAAGATAAGAACAATGAGCGTTTTATCGCGGCCGAAAGCAAGTTCCAGTTCATCGGCACAATCGAATGGCTATCGAATTGTAGTATCCAACTTGCAAGCCAACGTTACGCAAGAAGATATTAAGGTGCAATAGGATAAAGAACTTATTTCTAAAAGTTTTCGCATTTGCTAGTAAGGCGTTGAAAACAAAAATTTTTACATTGTATAGGAATTGTTCGAAGATGTTGGTGAACTGCTCATATCGAGACTAGTTCGTCCAGGTACAGCGGAAGTAATTTATAAAACACTAAAGGATGCGTCTAAAGCAGTTGAGACTTATCATAATCGACAATTAGATGGCCATCCAATGAAATGTCTTCTCGTTAATCCACGATCAAAAAATAATCCCACTGGGCCAGCCGTTCGATCTCTTGCGGAGTAAGTAGCAACAATTTTCTATTATTGTGTGCATTAAATATATATTCTACGAATCTATTCTATGTTGAATCATATGATGGTATATGAAAGTCAAAAACAGCACAAATTCATTTATTTGAATCAATCACATGAAATCATTACGTGTAATTTCTCACATCTAATGTCATAATCTATTATGGCTGTAGAAACTAATTAATAGTCTTAAAATTGTATTGAAATGTGTTGTTTGTAGACAGCCGACGAACTTCCTTTTTTCACCACACATTTTTTTGTCTATAGATCGAGACGTAGTATCAGCTCAAGTTATGTACAACCAAGTTTAGGAGCGGTACATCGCGCCTTATTTGATGATTCTTAATCGACTGTATCCATTTTGATAAGATGACTAAGTTAATATGAAGGAGATAAATGAATGTATGTGTAATGGACATTATGCTGATTATTCTTAGGAAAGCGAATGGAGAAATGAACGAAACACACGCACTCATTGTGTGCAACTCCAATTCTTAGCTGTAATTATATTAATAAACTTATACCACTCATTATCTTTGGTAGTTATATGGTCTAAACGACCAATAACACTGGAACGCTCGTAAAATTTTTGTAAATTATTTTTGGCGTTAAACGTTTCCTCTTATATTTTATGCACTTTTTAGTTGTAACTTTATTGTTCTTATGTCTTACTTTAAACATAGCATGTTATAAGTTTAAACATATATGTTATAAGTAATAAGTTATTTATGTGTGAGTATGGTTTATAACTTATTACTAATTTAAGTATTAAGTTATAGTGTATCAAGTGTTTAAAATATTAGAGGTCGCAAAATATCTTAATATTCAAAATAATAAGAAAAATTCAGGCGTTCTGGTGTTAAAACATAGAGAAAAAACTTAGTTAAAAATAATACGGCCATGGAATAGCATAAATATCGGGTGCAAGTTGCTTCTTGTACATTTAATATACAAATAAAATGATACTCCTTCAGCAACACTTTGATATTATATTAGAGGTATAATATATAGATATTAGATAAATAAGGTCATGATATGACCACGCGTGCGTACGATCATAAATATAACTTATTATCCAAATTTAATATTATGTGGTTTTTATAGTTTCAAATTTCGAAAAGATATGTATGTTTATATGTTAGACAAGTCATTTTTTCAGACTCTTATTATAAATTTACGCAGAAATAAGTACTGGAAAAATTTATTTTCTCACTGAAGATCCATAATAATAATTATGTATAGATGGAGAATAAGGTGATACA